CAAGAAAATGATGACGGGCTCAAAGCTATCATGGAAATCTTAAAAGAGGGTAAATCATACAAAGATTTTACATTACAGAATGGATTATTGTATAGAGGACAAGAACGACTGCTAGTTGTACCGCTAGGGATGGATATGGAGATTATAAAGAAAGCACATGAAAATGGGCATTTTTCAGTAAAAAAAACATTTGAATTAATTAAATTAGTAAATACTAGTACATAGAAAGAATAGCAAAGAAAGTTGAAGACTATATTAAAATGTGCATACCATGTTTATTAGCAAACAGAAAAGAAGATAAAAGGGAAGGATTTTTACATCCAATTAACAAAGGAGATGAACCGCTACATACTCTACATTTAGACCACATAGGACCCTTAACGGAAACGCATAAACAACACAATTACATTCTAACTATGGTGGATGGGTTTACAAAGTTTGTGTGGTTGTTTCCAACAAAAACAACATCTACAAAAGAAGTGTTGATTAAATTAGAAATTCATCAACAAACCTTTGGAAATCCTGAAAGATTTATAACAGACCGTGGAACCGTATTCACTAGTAACGAGTTTAGAAGATATTGCGAAGAAGAAGGTATACAACACATAAAAATAACAACAGGTGTCCCGAGAGGAAATGGACAAGTGGAAAGAGTACACAGGACTCTTATATCAGTTTTGACTAAGTTGTGTATTCAGCAACCAGCATTATGGTATAAGCATGTCGGGTACAAAGAGCATTAAATAACACTTTCCAAAGAAGTATCGGCACAACGCCATTTGAGCTTTTGGTGGGTAAGAAAATGAAAAGAAAAGAAGACACTGAAATATATGATTTGCTACTCCAGGAAGAAAGAGAAGGCTATGTTGCTTATAGAGAAAAACTTAGAAAGATGGCAAAACAGCAAATATTGGAGATACAAGAAGAAAATAAGAAGGATTATAATAAGAAGAGAAAGGATCCTAACACATACAAAGAAGGAGATATAGTTGCCATAAGGCGTACACAGTTCGGAGTTGGTATGAAGCTAAAACCTAAGTATCTAGGACCCTATAAGGTCAGCAAGGTTAAGAGAAACAATAGGTATGATGTTGAAAAGATTGATCTAAAAACTGAAGGTCCCATTAGAACATCCACTTCAGCCGACTACATGAAAGCTTGGCCAGATACAAGCCTGAATGAAGATTAAGAATGTAAGGTGAGTCTATTAAATATTTAATGTATGTATGAGATGTATGATTGTGATGACTGTGGACAGTCATGTAAGCAGGAAGGCCGAATGTGGGAATGGGTAATGAATGCAGAGAAAACGGAACGTTGAGTGAAAGAGAGAGAGGGAAGACGTATGGCGGGTGTGAGCGAAGTGTGTTAAGACGGAAGACGTGTGCTGAGTTATATATATATAAAAGACGATATTAAGGTGTATTTAGGCAATAAGAAGAAAATAAATAATCTTTTGAAAGCTAACAACGTGTTCGCTAATTTCGAAATCCTTCCCCACATATATATATATAATTCTTCTGTACGTGTCACTGAACTTCCCTTAAGTGGCTGGACCGATTTTAATAAATTTTTTTGTGTCTTCACGTGGATTCGAGAATGGTTTAGATTCACAAAGTTATTCAAAAAAGTTTGAAATTTTCGAATTTAAGACGTGTGTACAGGACAACGTCTGTCCGGTCCACTAGTATATGTATAAAAGGCAAAATGAAGGAGTTTAAATAGCAAAAATATTAAATTTATAATTACGAATATCTAAGTACATGTTCGTGAAATACATTTATGAAATTGATATATCTACGCGCTTTGCTACGAGTTTGAAACAATTTCTTGTTGCGTATCGTGACTTATAAACAAAGTCAAACGAACACATTTGAGATCATAAGTTAAGCCTTGACGAATGTTACGGTGCACAGAGCCATATAGGTAGGGGCAATGTTATTGTTTATTTATAAAGACAGCTCGAATGCGACGCGCTTTTTCCCTGGGTCCCGGTGACAAATTTATATTTGTCGATTCGACGGGACGCGATAGAATCGAAAGGCATCGATTTATAGCACGCTCCGTTGATCGATTTCGATGATCCCGAGTTATTGGTGGACGGAGCAGAGTGACCGTACTGCTATAGCGGAATTTATATGGCGCCTTCGAAGGTCTCGGTTGGTTTGCTTGTGTAACGTCACCATTTGAATGATAGAGATCTTGAAATAATACTTTTGCCCTTACGCCTCAAAAACGAATTATTAAATATGTCATTTATATGTTACCTATTATTGACTAAATTTTATTGATATTAATTTAAAAATAAGAATTAGAGCGAAATGCGTTTAGATCTTATATAATTGGTGAATGATATATAGAAGTTAAAAATTAAGATATAAATATGATTAACATACAATTTAAAGAGAATTAGGAAAACAAATACAACTATTAAAACTATTAATAGGAATCAAAAACAAATTAATAAGTACACACATATTTTGAAACTTAAATAAGAATACACCCTCCGTTATGATATTACCATGCTAACTGTTATTAAATTCTGTTAATATCAATACTTTTTCGTACTGAATATATTAATTACCATAGTGATGGGCACTTGTTGCGCCTTCGTGAAATGCTGATGTCTTACAAATAAGGGGCGAGTGGCGTAAAACTTGGGCAATTTGCTTCGTAAGTTTGAATTTTGAGCAAACACTTGTAGCTATTTTTAAAATGTTTATAAACGATTGCTTTATAGCGCCCATTTGTTTGATAATTAAACACTAAATACGAACTTTATAATGTATCCTCGCATCTTTAGTTCTGTTTTGCTTATCAGCAGCTTCAGTTTAAACATTTTTAACAGTGTCTGTGAATTTAAAACGTCTAATTAGAATATTAAACATTGTTATTTTGTTGTTAAATTGGCTCTCTGATTGGTTCAACTGTTGATTATTTGGGCTGCGGCTAAATCGTTTATTCTTTACATAGGAAATCCGATCTTTTTTTGTACAGTTGAATTTCCTAAAATAACTCCGTTTCCTAAATTAAGTTCTGTTTTGCTTATCAGCAGCTAAAGTTTAAACATTTTTAACAGTGTCTGTGAATTTAAAACGTCTAATTAGAATATTAAACATTGATCTTTTGTTGTTAAATTGGCTCTCTAATTGGTTCAACAGTCGATTATTTGGGCTGCGGCTAAATCGTTCATTCTTTACATATGAAATTGATATTTTTTTCGTATAATTGAATTTCCTAAAATAACTCCGTTTCCTAAATTGAATTCTGTTTTGCTTATCAGCAGCTTCAGTTTTAACATTTTTAACAGTGTCTGTGAATTTAAAACGTCCAATTAGAATATTAAATGTTGTATTTTTTGTTGTTAAATCGACTTTCTGATTGGTTCAACTGTTGATTATTTTGGTTGTGGCTAAATCGTTAATTATTACACATGAAATCTGATCTTTTTTCGTATAGTTGAATTTCCAATTCTTATAAAGCTATATCATTTAAAGCTTTTTCGAATCGGTATGATTATAAAAAATTGTCACAGAACAAAGTACACATTAGTAGTTGAAAAGGGAAGGAGATAGAGCACACGATTCACCGGATGATTATCTTTAGAGTAAGGGACATTACTCGTATTAGCATAAATACTCTGATATCACACTAGTCTTTATGTAACGGTATAAAACTGCGGCGTAACTCGGACAGAGTAAATGGCAACGATTCAGTAACAATTATTCAAAAATTGGATGGAATAATATCAAAAGCGAAATGAGAACCAAATTGGGTAGATAGTAGTTTAAGGAATATCGTTTTAAGGATATCAAAATTTGAAAAAGACTTCAACAAGCTAGAAAAGAATATAATCAATTTTCGGTGTACATTTTAGAGATTTTTTTTGGGATACTGCGACCGACTGAGCAAGATACTATTTTTTAACTTCCAATGTAATACTTTTCGCTTTTGTAAGAATCCATTGAGAGAGTATAATGGTAGAGGTATACTATAGGTTTGTATGTAAATCTGGGTTTATCGTTTAAACATTTAAGACCCAAAATGTGGGTACAGCTCACGAGACGGTCTCGCGATTTTAATAGCCGTACCTTCAATGAATTTCATAGGCGTTAGTTTCAATAGGTTCTAATTTTATCGAAATATAAATTTTATCGATTCCTGTTTAAAAACGAGCATCATATTCGGCGCAATTTAAGATTTTTATTTTAGTTTTAGAAGTTGTAATACAATAAAAACAATTTGACGTGGATTTAAGACCAATTAAGTACAGACGTTCCTATACTCGTTGTCAACAGGGTCGAGAGTAAGCAGCGCTCGAACCCGTGCCGAATTCTCTAATCGGCTTTAATGAATTCCGTCGAATCGATTTCTTTACGTTTGCTTCCAAAGAAATGCTCTGGATTTGGACGCATGACAGATTTTAAATTCTTCTCTTACACTTGCAACGTCGCTTCTTCATTGCGTTTGCTTCAATAATGCATGAAACGTGATCATTTTCGCTACGACCCGTCGGGCAAAAAGCACGTCGATTAACGACACTCGGTGTATGCAAGTCAAATTGTGTCCTTGTATAATTTGCGGCCGTATAATGAATGATAAATAATTAAACAGCATTTAATGCAACGCTAGCTATAATACTAAAATTCAACTCATGTTTATTTAATTAGCGACATATACGTCTGATGTTCCCGATGGAAATTAAATCGTGCCGGCGCTGATGACGAGACCTTGGCGTTAATTAGCCGAACCAGTCTATAACTAGGGCCGACGCGCACTAGTCCGTCTCAACTCACAATGCCTCTCCGTCGTACAATGTCGCGGGCGGCGCATTAAATTGGCGGATTTACATTCGCACCATATACGGTGCGCCGGCGCCGTCCGGCAAAAAACCACGTCCGCCGCTAAGTAAATACAAATTTCAATTATCATTTCGTGCGTTTTACTCGCCCCCATCTCCGTTTCGTCCGCTTAAAATGTGCGCCCACGGCGTGGGCTTAATCGGATGCGCATAGTGATCGCTTTTTCCGACAATGGCGGTCGGCGGTCGGTTTTTCCGTGTGGCCGCGTGGTCGCGCATGCGCTGTCGCGGTCGCCCGGTGATTTACGACGTCCAAATTGTCCGCGCAACGGTTTTTCGGCACACCCTCCCCGGGGCCCGTGGACGCCGGACGTGGTGCCAAAATGAATGGGCCCGCGTCAGCTTTTTGCCACCGCGCGGATTCTTCGCGGACAGCTCTGTTATTGCCGATACCCTGTCGGATCGCGAGACCGTTAAAAGGGCGTATTTGTGCATATTCAAAGTCGTAGACAAAATTTATTTATTCAATATAGGCTTCATTTAAGCTCTTATTGAACGTCAAAGAAAAACTACCACCGGTTGACTAAACTATACCTGACCAGAGAAGAACTGGCAAGAAACTCCGCGATTTTTTTATCTCTTTTCTTTTAGTAAAACACATACAAACTTATTTCAGTATAAGTAGACCGGGCTGAGCACAAGGAATCCTGCGTATAGCAAACTGTGAAGTAGTTCAGAGCTATATTTACCGCGGGACTACTATATCCAAACTCGGTGGATGTGAAGACGAGATCAAGCGTCGATGCGCTATCACACGGTCAGCAGTAGAGCGATTAAGGAAGATTTGGAAAGACAGACGTATAATCAAGAATGCAAAGCTTAAGGCTAATGAGATGTCTGGAATTTTAAATCTTTCTGTATGGGGCTGGTCATGGTCGCTCAAATTACAAGATCGCCGGAAAATCTATGCTTTGGATATGTGGTGTTAGAGACGACTATTAAAAATTCCGTGGACAGCGTTTTGGACTAATGTTTCCATACCCAGAGAACTTCGTATACAAAATAGACTTTCGTTGACTGTTCAACTACGAATTCTCAAGTTCTTTTGGCACATATTTGGAAAGGAAGATTCCATGGAGAGACTAGTCGTTCAAGGCCGTGTAGAAGGCAGAAGACTTCGAGGTCGATCCCCTACGCGCTGGATTAACCTTATCATCAGTATTACGGAAGCCACCGCACTACAGTGTGCTCAATACTAATAGCCGCCTCCAATGTAGGAACGAGAGGCGACGATGAGTCGTAACGCTGTCCATCGACAGCCACTCTGCCAAGAGTGTCCGACTAAGAAGAATTTAAGTATAAATTCAGCAGCAGCCAGGGGCAAGTGCAGAGCATTTGCACATATCCTTGTCCTCAATGTATTCTTCGACATTATAATAGGGCCTTGCCAGGATAGCTTTTGGTAAATATTGGTAAATATTCATTCTTAGTCGTTTGTGGATGTCACCTATTACAAAATTAAGGTTAAACGACAGGTCACCTTATGAAATATAAATTTGCTTACCAACTTTATTAATAGGTGCCAATTCATCTGCAACTCTACAGTGGTTCCAAATGTCCATAGGTGGTTATCACTTAACATCAGGTGAACCGCCAGCTCGCTTGCTGACTTCTCACATAAAAAATAATAATGTTTGTTTTTGCTACATTCTGGTTGCCTGTGAAAAATATTGTTCGTCTTCAACTGAAAATAGCGTACTTTACATTCTTAAGCATCAAACACCTCATTACGAGTACTAAAGAACAAAATGTGGGGTATTACGGCGTACGTGCATTCTTTCGAAGGAATTCGTTCAACGCGTGTTTGTTGCGCTGAACGGAAATTTTAAAAGGCCAAAAATTGTCCATCAATTATGAATTCGGCAGCGAGTGGAAAGGGTTTTGTACCAATTAAGGCTTGTCTGGATTCGAGGGCCGACTGTGTGGCGAATCGCTAATTACCGAAACCGGATGATTGGGGGGCGCGACCTCGATTGTGTCAAACGCAAAGTCGTTTCCAGTGCCGTAACCAAATCCAATCGCAAGAACGTCGAGTTGGTATTGTCTGTAATGACGACGAGATACACCACTAACGCCTCGTGAACATTTTAAACTGTTTTGTCAGCTTGAGGGGCCAACCCTTTTTACATCGATAGTTCTAACAAAGCAGAATTATCTGTAAGGGACCTTTTCTTAAAGTTACCCTTCGTAATAATAAAATATGAATGAATATTTTATTAATATTAGTATTATCGTTATTTTACTGTGATTAAGTGAAAGTAGTCCAGTAACTTGATCGACTTTCAAAGTAACGACGTGGAGCAATGTGTTTTACAATTTCATATCCACACATCATGTGTCGACGTGCGCTGGTCAATATAAAAATGTAATAATAATAATACATTGATATGTGACAGAAATTACTACACTAAAACTAAACATATCAAGTCATCAACAAAAAAAACAGTCAAAAGAAAGGTCCATTAAAACTGTATTCGAAAAATCCGCAACATCACTAGCAGTGTGCTTCACTTAATTAACCCTCGAAAGCGGCCTTCATAATCCGATGGAACAGGAACAAAGAGGCGAGAGAAAAAAGGCACTCAATGTCACGTCCGAACTGGGAACTTTGGACAAATTCATATTTTTATGGGGCCTTTTGTGTGCTTTTTTCTCACAGTCGAGGGGTCGACATCTGAGGCAGCACGATTCGGTAACGCACCGTCGGTGATGCTATCTCAGCCATTAGAAGGTCGGAGCCACATCAGTGTTCAGACATTTCGACACGTCCCCTTTTTGTCTAAGAGCCCGTCGGCGGTTGTTGTTTTAAGATATCGGTGCACCGTTGAGCCGCCGTACCCGACTCGCACGCCCTCCACACTTAACTGTGAATCTCGATCGCGAATACTTTTTTCTCACTCGGAGCGAAACCGAAGCGTCCCGTTCCCGCCGGCGGCTCAATTCCCACGATTTCGCCCGTCAGATAAGGGGTTGTAATAACACATCTGGTTTTTGCGGCGTCATAAGCGCGAGGCCGTCGCCACCCCGTCACCTGTGGACTCGTCGCTGGTGTAAAACGCCAATAAACGTCACCTTTTTTGTGGGGCGGCCTCCCGTTGAATTCACGTCACGCGCGGTGCCACGTGAGATGCGTATCAGGGCACGCTCGCCACCCTGGCTGCCCTGACGAGCGCCATTCTCTCACGTGATGCCGTCCACGTCCGCCGCCCCATCTGATCTCGGGCTAATCTCGTACACATCGGCCGCTATTAACGCCCGAGGTGGAAACGCCCGCCGACAATGATCTCATTAGCCCAACAAAAGTCATTAAATCGTTGACGGTGCGCCCGCATTGTGCCAGCATCACGTGCAACAAGAGCGCTAACAACGTGTGGAGGATCTCGGGGAAGCGGAACAAATGCCGCGATCCGTCCGAAACGCCATCCGTCCACAGCATCCTTTCATCGGGCGTCTACGTGGCCGGCTAAAAAAAAAGTCAACGGTCCCAAATGATCATTATCTCTCTCCGTCGATCATCGATCGCTATTATCCTATTTAAAAGCCTCTCGATTTGTTCTTCGGATTTTTTCCCCCTTAGGCATTCTCTCCTTGGCGTTTCAATCCGGGACACCAACAATGGGCAAGTTAAGAAAGATGTTTAAGTGTTTAGTTACGCTGTTTTTTCACAACTTTTCAATTTCAACGGAATCGTGTCGTGCATGGGCCGGAAGGTGTCGGTCACGGAGCGTTATCAATGCTAATAGTAAAATGTGCCTTGAATAACTTGAATTCTCGAACACAACCAACTATTGTGAACCTTACAGTTACACTATGATAATAAACCGTACGATATACGCGATGAAATCGACTGATCGACAATTAAACTTTTAATCTTCAACGATCAGTTAACGATAACATCGACGATCGTAAATGCGAACCGACGTCGAATATTACCCTCGGGATCTGATGATGGAAATATGGAGTCCGTGAGGGCAATGCCGGTTAAGACATTAATTGGGGAAGGTGGCGGGGCGCGGGGCGGGGCGCGCTGGACCCACACGTAGCGTGAAATCGCGGGGCAAGGGAGCGGCAACACCTGGCCGCGCTGTCTTATTATTTGTTGTCTCCCATCCTCCATGCTCGTAAATTTCCACGTCAACGTGTGCGATGATTGTGGAAAAAACGAGGTCGACAAAGCACCGCGCCGCGATACAGACATAAAGACGGACGGCGGCGAACGCGGCGCATAATGCAAACGGAGCGGCCGACGTTCCCCGGCCGCCGCGGCGTGGATAATTTTTCGTCGTAATAAATTCGGATTGTAATGGCCGACCGCGATCGGTGGGGATGTTAAGTCGGGCTTATTTCAATAAAGTTTTCATCTGAGGCGACTTCAGGGCGACCGGTTCTTGACGAACCAACCGATCGCAACCGCCTACGTGTTCTGAATGAAGCTAGTGGTGTCATTGAGCCGTTTCCATTAGCGATAGGGCTTTATGAATAAACACGTGTGTTTATTGCTACCTTGTCTGTATTATGTACGGGCTGCATAATTGCGAGCTTTTTGCTAGGATGCAAAAAGATGTTTAACTGAAGTAGTTTTACCTTCGCAAAAAGTTATGACTCTATTGATGTTTAAATTATGTTTAAAATCAGTCTTTTTATACAATCGTAGCTATTTTATTTAAATAACAATAACCATTTTCATTTTAGCTTAGAACGCTCAATTACATTACCATAGGTTATAAATTTTCTTATCGTGTCTTTCAGCGAATACCGTATTGCACACATAAATTACCGACATTATCCGAAATAAGTAGGATAATTTATCAATCATTTCAGTTCATTTCACGATGAGAGAAAATTTAACAATCGGTTTTGTGTTAAAAGTTTATTCCCTTCACGAAGGCTTGCGTTTAGCTTAGCACGAAAAATTCGCACTTAAATAACAACGACGATAAATTACATAATATGTATTCGGACACCGTCAATCAGTACCGCCCGCTGTACTAATTAATTGTAACTACACAGAAAGCACTTAAAATTAACAATTTCATTGGTGCTGGCACCGGGTATCGAACTCAGGTTGCTCGAATATCTTGAATTAAAAGCGAGCGCCTGGACAGTGACAGAATACCGGTAAACAGTATCACTACATAGTATAAAACAAAGTCGTCCCGCTGTCTGTCTGTCCCTCTGTACGCTAAGATCTTTTAAACTGCGGAACGGATCTTGATGTGGCTTTTTTTTACTAGATAGACTGATTCAAGAGGAAGGTTTATATGTATAATACATTGCACCTGCGCGAAGCCGGTGCGGGTCGCTAGTTTATATATAAGCTACGGAAACAAAAGGTGTCTAAAGTAAAAGCCTATATATGTCCTATTGCTCGGCCAAGGCTTCCTCCGTAGAGAGGTTTAGGGCATAGTCCAGCACGCGACCCCACTACGGATTGGCACATATATCCGAAAAACTTTTTTGTAATAATTAAAAAATATGCAGGTTTCCTCACAATGTTTTCCTTCACCGCTGAGCACGTGTTAAGTCAGCACTTTAAATTGTTAATTATATACCTATATTGTTCTTTTCCGCATTATAAGCAACGTTTGGTGCCTCTAACTTTTTGTCCAGTTTTTCTTCAATATTTAATGTTTCTTCAGAGCAGAGATTAGCATCGTAAAAAAATTTTATTACATTTTTTTCACTGACTTTTCACCACGCTCCGGGATGACTGGGACAGAATGCCAAAAGGCATTAAGATCGCACTTTGTCTTCCTTGTTTAGGTAATCACAAACAAGAATGAATAAATAAATTATTATATAGACATTGATAATTCAATGACATATTTGCAGACTACATACACAATAAATAACACAAAAATGTTTGTATTAAGGAAATTTATAATTATAATTATTGAAATATTCATAAATACATATCTATAAATAATAAATATAATTACCTATAACTGACCACCAACCAACACCATACGGGTGGTCTAGCTAAAATTTTATAATGGGTTAATATTGTATATATAATTATATTAATAATATTTAGAATAGATTACGCGATTGTAATCTCAGTTATTTTTAACGCTTACTGCATCTGTAGTGTGGTAGGTGTTGGAAATGTCTACGGGTTGATCAGCGAGCCCATATACATACAACACCTGACGGGTTGCAGATGCGTTGCCAACATTAAAGTAGTGGCCCCAATTACCTCACTCAGGCGAAACGCAACATTATAACATATTTATACTACCCTTTTACTTTTCACACCCTCATTTTCTGTGAGGCTGTGGTACATCCCCGGATAATTTATCATATATCTCCCAGGATTAAACGGTTTTCCGTTTAAGTCATTAAAACTTTTGAACTAGGTTATATTAATATATTTTTGCTTAAACGTCAAAGTCCGCCAATCCGCAGTAGTCCGCCAATCCCCAGCAGTCTAGCGGACTAGTTAAACGCACGCATGAGCACATGCGCGGCCCTACCCACAGCGGGGGGCCCAAACCCGTGGGTTCTGGCTAGCCCACCGGCTCTGCGTCAGATGAAGCTTTAATAGTCTCGGAACTGAAAGCAAAACAAAAAAAAATCTAGCGGACTGCTGGGGATCCGCGGTGGGGCCGCGTGGTAGACTATGCCCTGATACCCTATGTACAGAGGAGGCCTTCGCCAGACATGTATAGGCCGATATTTTGGACGTCAATTCATAGTCAGTTAGAACACAGCGCCATCTATCGAATACGGCAAAACAATGTCTGCTGTGACAACTAATAAGCATTACATTACGATTTGTCAGTATCGGATAGTATATCAGATAAGTAAAATATCTTACCACGTTTCATAATAGCACTGGAGTGAGGGTTCGTGCTCTTCGCCAAGAGACTGGAGCAGTTCCAACGATGCCAGCGGAACTGGTGTTGGCATTCCTTGACCGCCATCTGGAGGCCCTCGAACGCAATCGCCGCCGCGTCGGGTTCGTCGTGGCAGACGGCTCTCTGCTCTCTGGTCAGTCCACCGACTAGGCGGCACGTGAGGGCAGAGTTTAGCTTGAAATGCGGAGGGAGCATGTTGTCGCGGGAACTGTGTAAAGAAGACAATGATTGTTTCAAATGCCGAACGTCCACATTATATTGCGTCACTAACATTTTTGTTTTTTTTTTTTTTTCATTCAAAAACTGGCTAGTGTTCGATGACTATTAACATTAAACCTCCTGGTGAGCAGTAATATCTTCAGTGTTAATGCAATGGCTCTCTTAGTAGCCTATTCCACGTTCCTCAACGATTATTCTTGAAATTTTTAATTTTTAATTTTTTCCATACACGATTATCGTTAAAATCACGACATATAAGTGATCAGAAATCAATATGCTAATGAACTGGTACTGACATACATAAAATGAAGCAAACTGTCTGTTTGGTATAGCGCTACTTATACATTTTTTGGGTGCAAAGAGAAAAGTGAGTCTTGTCATTTGTACCATTGTTCCAAAAAATTGACTCAATTAAGGATCCTTACAATCAGCCAGAATTTCATTATATGTCTATCATTACTACTATAACCTATAATGCTACTGTTATAATGTTTCTAAATGCTAATGGTCAAAAACTAAAGTGACAGACGGCCCACGTTGTGCGTAGAATCGATAAGCGCTCAAAAGTATAGTAGAACAGTTCTCGAGAGGCTGCCGGTTGCGACGTGCTACTCTATCTACTTGAGGGAGCGATGAAATCTGCTCAGTTTACATAGCGTCCATACGTAGCAAATACTTTTAACAATCAATCGCTAATGAATAAGGGCTTTGTAATAAATAACTTGCAAAGTTCAGGTAACGTTCAAAATATATCTTACTTCTAAGAGCAAACGCAAAGGCCAAACGCTTTACTACATTAATATCTCTATAAAATAATAATAGACATGTTAATAGTTCGTCGCTGGTAAATATCACACGTGTTATGTTTGCTTATCATTTTCGGATTTTAGTATAATTAGTGAATTATTTGCCCGGTTGTTTTGGGTAATAAATTGGTGTTCATTTAAATATAATCTTAATATATGAATGTTGACCGGCGTTTGCGTCAATAATTTACACTTTTTCTAGAAATATTGTCACTAATTGGGAGCCCCTTGTGTAATTAATGTCAATGAAATTAATTTATTCCAGGCAATGATGCTATCATCACGAGTTTCGAATTGTTTATTAATGAAACAATTTGTTAAACAGCTCCCGAGATCCAACAAATATTTTTAAAGCATTCGACGATGGAACTAATGAGCTTATACGGATTTTAATTAATAAATCTGTGGAAAGGTTATCCCCAAATACCCAAGAGAATTCCGGTTATAAATACATTTTAAAATGCTTGTCACTAGACAAAGCCCACACGTAAGATAACTTATTATTAAAGTTACATAGGTTATTCCAATAACGTCTACAATAAGAGAAAAATCAAAGATTGAATTTCTCGTGAGGTAGATTCAAATCCGATTTATAATAGTAGGTAGATGTTTTGCCGGCTAATAAGAGTAGGCCTCGGCTACATGACTCATCGAATGAATCACAGAAGTAAGCTACTTGATGTTATGGCTGGTCTTCTGCAAGGTCATGTTTCTTCTCTGGAATTGCTGCCAAATCATACAATAGCCGAAATCGTGGTAGGACCACGCAACAGTCTTCGCTGTTGTACGAATGGGCAGCTCCGTCTGGGTAGGTACCACTAACTCACAGAAGACCGGCTTGAAGTGGGAAAATTACACTTCTGCGTTTCGTCTCTTCAGTGAGGTAGCCGAAGCCCATTATCATAAGGTTGCAACGCATCTGCAACCCTTCGCGTGTTGCAGATGTCAATGGGTGGCAATTATATTGATGTTATTTAATTTATTTAAATAACATCAGGTGAATCGACATCTAACTTGCCACCTTCTTAAATTGAAAAAAAAAAAAAAAAAGCACTGTAGGGTCAACAAAAAATAACGGCTTTTAAAGATTTTAAGTTTGATATTCCACGACGTTTCGAACATTTTGCAACATTTCAATGGGTACCACGCTCAACAACTGTGAAAATTCCATTTATAATTTTTATAACGCATGTAACACATGTAATGTATAACGCGGGCAAATTTCATAGAAAATCTATTTCTCTATTCGTCTAGCAAATATGTATTTGAATAGAGCAAACTTACACATGTAAGTTTTCGTGTCATTGTTGTAAAAGCAAATATTACGACGTTAACCTTTTGCGTTTTATGGATCCACGAGGACACGATGTGTCTCGTCACGTAGCTACCGTCGAATAGCGCATTTATCTGATTCGGGTAAGACTGGCGTTCAGTATCAAGATTGGGATTATATCAGGTGTTTCATTCAGATTCCGTCTACTAGATATAGCTCGGAGTTTTCGGCGCCCGCTGCTTCTTGGTCCGTTATTATTAGACATGTTCAAAAATAACTATAAATAGTGACGAAACTTCAAAAACTTCGCTGCATGTATTCCTTTTAATAATATTGATTTATTAAGATACCTACATTTGGATTAGGTTGTAACAAAGCAGCGGCCAATATTGAAAATGATAGGAAATGTCATTTCCTCTGATACTCCTTTCCAAACTCTAATTACCGTAGTGTCGATGGAAATTTTGTACGTAACAGAAAATAATAATTAAAATAATGTCAATCCGTTTATATTTATATATTTTAGTCCTCTAAGTTGTCATGTCAATAACATTTTATTTAATGATATGAAGTAGCCCTCAGGTTTTTAAATTGTACTGCTCTTACGTTGTCTAGAAAATTGCGTTTACATTAAATTACTAAAATAAAGTTTTAAAAAGACAGAAACAACGGCACTAACTTGTTTTGTTTCCTGTCCGTAATGTTTAGTTTTGGTTTAGGCGCGTACCTCCAAGAAAACGTCACTTTAGGGCGCGGTATATTTTTTCTAGGAAACACACTTGTCTTATCATACTACATGTAAGTCAAGTAAAAAGTCGGCCAAGTGAGAGTCGTTGTTATGTCGTTTGGATCGAATTAATATTAATAATCAGTAATAAAAAATCACACGAACAAAATCCTGCATTAAATATAAATTGCAGAAGGAAATAAGAAGGAAAATAAGATTATTTTATTCTTACACTAGCGACCCACCCCGGCTTCGCATGGGTGCAATGTATTATACATATAAACCTTCCTCTTGAATCACTTATCTAGTAAAAAAACCGCATCAAGATACGTTGCGAAGTTTTAAATCTTGAGTTGAAGTTTATCTGAGCAAACATAGGGACAGACAGACAGCGAGACGACTTTGTTTTATACTATGTAGTGAAGTGATCTATTTTAAAGTGATAACTTAGGTTTTCTTAATGTTTAAAATAAAAAAAAATATTGAAACTGAAGATTTATAAATTGGACGATATCTTTATATACATAATTCTTCTGTACGGGTGTGTCAGTGACCTGAACTCCTAAACGGCTGGACGGATTTTAATGAAATTTTTTGTGTTTTCAGGTCGATTCCAATGGTTTAAATTAACAATTCGGTCCAGCTGTATATACTGTTACTGTATAAATTTAGTTCTTTGAAGTGTCAGTTTTTCTATTTTACCAACGAACGCCAAAACTAATGGTAACAATGGTTAAACACTGTTTTCCTTCTTTACATAACTGTCCGAGTTATCTTGTTCCTCTTCCCACGCTCCGTGGAATGCCGGCGTATCATTAAAGGGTGCGTCGAAAGACGAATTATAACCAACGTTTAATGATCTTAATGAAACTCGCGCGCGATCATTATTTTTATCATTACCGTGTCATTATTCGCATCTTAGTGTCTAGGTGTAAATGTTTGGAGTGATTTATTTAACGAGCGAAAATATCACACTTAATGATTGAAGATGGTTGCCTTAACCATTCGTGATAATTATTAAATAATGCGGTATTATCACATATAAGAGCCGTGATAGCTCAGTGTCCGGGCGCTCGCCTTTAATTCAATATATACTCGAGCAACCTGAGTTCGATCCCTGGTGCCGGCACCAATGAAGTTTTTAACTTTAAGTGCTGAATTATCACGTGCTCCGCGGTGAAGGAAAACATCGTGAGGAAACCTGCATTTTTCGAATCATAACAAAAAAAAAATGTATTTCGAAGATATGTGAAGTCCGCCAATCCGCAGATACCCTCTGTATAGAGGAGGCCTTTGCCCAGCAGTGGGACATGTATAGGCTGTTACTTTACTTTTACTTTTTTTATCACATATAACTTAAAAATGGTGATTTTAATGCATTGAAGATACAAGTGTGCACCTGCGTAAGATATCTCTTAAACTATGATATTTTATGTAGTTTATTTAAAATCTGCATCCGTTTCTATATCGTTCCTATAACCGACGTGCTACATGCTTCGATATGTATAAATATTTTAATATCCACATTCCATAACTTTTTCTTGTACGCTTTCTCCCATTTCCACACTACTGGGATAAAAAAAAGCGTTTCACGCTGCACGTTAGCCGCAAAAGCCACTGGCTCTGTCGGCAAGTGCAAGGCAGTAATTTTTGAACGTAAGAGATCTGAAAAATTATTCGTGCAAGCAACAAGCCAGCCAACACTAGGCCATTAGTGCTATTTGTGACAATTAACTAACCAACATGATTTTTATTGTTTTTAAAGTGAATCTGTTGGAAGAGACACTTTTAATTTAACTCCTTAAATAAAATTTGAATGAACTGATTATTAAAAGCAATATAATTTTATTTTTATGCGAGAAGGTGGCAAGTGAATTGGCGCTTCACCTGATGTTAAGTGGTAACATTCGCCAATGGAAATTTGCAATACCCCTAGGATTGCAGTTGTGTTGCCACCTTTTATTACAGTGAGTCCCGGCTACCGCAATCACCAGACGAAACGCAGAAGTGTAACACTTCCATCCACTTCATGCCGTCTGTGAGGTCGTGGTACATCACACCCCGACGGACTTGCCAATTCGTGCGACAGTTAAGACTGTTACGTGGCCCTACCACAGTTCTTGTCGTGTTATTTCACATTTCTGTTTATTGTTGAGTTAACCAACTGCTGCTACTATACAAGTCTACTGAATCTACCCTACCTTTTTGTCCGTGAACATAGACAAAATTTATTTATCGAACATTTACAATATTAAATCTATCTAAATTACATATTATATAATAAACCTAATAGCGCGGCATGGTGCCAAGAACGCTAGCTGGACTTACTTGCTGAGTAGTTATGCTTAACCTTTGGGCGGGAAAAGATCACCAGCTTTCATGTCACCAGCCGTGGCGTTAAGCAAAATACCGTTAAAATAACCTCAGTAATTTCAAAAATTATAAAAAATAGATATAATTAAACTTTTTCTATGGCTACTATTTATGCAAGCACACGCGCTGAGATATAGGTGTTTTACACCCTAATCAAAGACTAAATTATTATTAATCGCAAGATGTGGTTTTATTTTACGGTTGCCTATTTTGCCGTCCACTTAAACGGGAAGCTCAAAACCAAGGACGATAACGTCGTATAAAAGAGAAAATAAATTCTCATATCGATATTTATTAGCGGGCGATTCATTTACATTTGCGTCTTGGCATTTTTCAAGTCGAGATTTATTACGGCCGAGTATCAAAGCTAGACTTTACCAGCAAGTGATATAAACAAAGATGTGTACCAATTTACGGCAATCTCGAACGCTAATGGAAGAAGCATCGAGGCGTGAGATAAGCTAACTTATGGGTATCAAAGCGATTTATAAGCAATGACGCTTCAGTTCAAAATGTTTGCGCAATGTTCGAAGATTCCTATTCGCTTTTAGAGGACAGAATGCTTTATGCCTTTTACAGATAATGTATTTTAGGAAGGATGAGCAAATTTGATTCTAGATAAATCGAGGACGTTATTTAATTAAATAATATTAACCAAATTGATGTCTAATGCTAATGCTCTGAATACTTTTCAACAAACATATGTGATAGTAAATGTTCGCATCAAATTTTCAGGTAACTAAGAATTCTAAATTTGATTAAACTCCATTAATTTGTTGTTATCGCAGGTTTGTTGTTTATTGTTATCACAAGATAACATTTTACATTGAATGTTGTCGATGTGTTTTACGAAATTTTATGATATAAATTTATCTGTAATTAGTTTGCGACATAGTATTTAATTCGCTACCAGTAATGTAGTAAGTCCGGCAATAAAGCTCTGAGGTAAAAATTCTAGATCTCAGCAGTGACTAGATAATGGGGTCGCGTTGAAATTACTCTCTTTTTAACTTTTTACGCGCGCTCGCATTCTTATCGAGCAAACTAATTGCCTATATTGGTAACATTTTTAAACGTTACACCTCCCCACAAATCAGATGCTGTATCTCGGCCTCTCCCGTGGTAGATTATAAGCAGAACAAATAGGTATTAAGTACATGTACATATTGTCGGTACACGGAATTTCAATCAGTCTGCCCGGCGTTCGCGGGAGTAAGGTCTTAAGTGCCGCCCGCTTTACTCGATTTTACCCTCTATCTTATGGTCTTAACGGTGATACTTCGAAAGCTCCGTATTCCGTTACGTCCGTATTGACAGCGGTGTTAGAGAAGAGAAAAGTATTTGCAGAATTGTCGGAACGCAGAGAGAAGCAAAGCAAGTAGCTGTAATTTGTATTGAAATAACCTTTCTGAATGGGTATCGTAGCATTTCATCAGCCGGTCCCGACATCAGATTTATTATTTTTTACCGGCGTGGTCTTAAAGCACAAAATTATTGTTTTTATCTCGTCACGGGGAATTTTCGATGCAATTATATTAAGCTCCGCTTGGATTTTTAATTGGATCACAGTGGGTTTAACGACTTGCTGGAAAAAGCTGCTCGCTCCATCCCCCGCTAATTCTTCGAGTTGGACGACATAGTCGGGCCTCGGTAATGGGCGATATGAATGAAAATTATTGTTCATCAACGTGGACACGTGGAATTTAAGAACCAGGAACCTTCGGAGGCATTTTGCTTAAAAAATTTTTTTTTCTTATTAAAAAACATTGCCGTTACTTTAGGATAACATTATCCTGTGTTGTAAGGACGTTTGAAAAACATAAATTTCACGCAGACAAACACCCAGATGCGAAACAACATATCTGTGGGTCGCACAAATAGTTGTCCCGTGCGGCAATCGAACCCACCACCTTGGCCACTGCGCCACGGAGTCATCAAATTTAAAAAATTTAAATTGTAACAATCATTAATTTAAAATTGATTCAATAACGCTGCTTTATAAATGTTTACGCCTCCTGTTTACTTCTGTCGTCATATTTGTGTCTGAAAATAATTATATTTGATTTTGTGTTGTTTTTTATGGTTTAATATGTTCCAATATTACCCATACTACGGTGAGTAATGTCGTCTTGGTGCGGCGGCTGGCGGTAATGCGGCTAAGATTTGTCTTTGGCGTTACGGTCTTTAGTTGGATATTCGGTGTGTACCTATGTTTATGGATTGTTATCTTTATTTATTTAATGTCATTTGTTGATCGTTTTATATACTTAAAAATTTTTTGAAAGTTATTCTATGGTAATGTAACGTAGCTTTTCAAGCGAACAAGTTTTGGAAAAAGTCCAAAGGCGTTTTCTTTACCATCTGTCATTTAGAGATCAATTAGTTTATGCGCTTCCTAGTTATAAGGACCGTCTAATTATAGCATTCGTCCTTTGGCCAGTAGACGTAAGCTTTTGGATCTAATCTTTTTTATAAATTATTTAACGGACTGCTAGATCAGGGCCGCATTTAGAGGTCTGGAAGCCTCGGGGCAACAAAGAAGTGGAGGCACCTTGGTCTCAATTATTTTACAAATAAAATGAATAATTTTTTTCAGTCGAGTTTTCCAATAAATAATTTATTGTGAAAGATAGATTCTTTTATTATTTAACGAACATACAAAAATAATCGGAAACAAGATTTAACTAAAATTTAATTTTAGCGTTAACGAACGGAACCTTTCGAGCTTTTTTCGCCGAAATATCGTTGATGATTTCGCTGAAATTCAGTTCCCGAAGCAAATCAAATATTAAGAACATTTCTCTTAAGAGAACTTTCGAAATTTGTGACTTGGGTGTCTATCTTGATAGTAAATTACGCTTTCATTGTCACATCGATAAAATCTGTAAAAACGCTTTTAAGAGTTTCGGTTTCATCCTGCGCAATTTGAGAAATTTAAAAAATCCTTCGACTAGCATAATTTTTTATAACACCTTCGTTCGCAGTGGGTTAGAGTACTGCAACGTTGTGTGGAACCCATTTTACAAAGTTTATGTAAAAAGACTAGAAAGCGTCCAAAAACGTTTTATGTGGCATCTCGCGTATAAATATGGTCTAGCAAAAAAACTACCCAATTATAGTGACAGGCTAAATCATTTTGGAATGAAACCACTTGTCGAGCGAAGATGTATATTAGACAACCTGTTCTTATAAAGGGAGGCTTTTCTAAGTGTATCCATTTTTTTAATTAAATTCTAGATATAAATAACGTTATATGAAAAATTAAAAATATTTAAAATCACTCATAATTAAAGTCAAATGACATTGCGTACAACAAAACAATAAATAATCGAACAATGATTTATTTTGAATTAAAGTAAATGGCTCATAAAAATTTTAAGCAATTTCACAGTCTCCACAGCAGAAATTACTAATAAGACTTTTCTTTATAAATTATATATATTACTTATTCTTTATAAATTTCTTTATAAATTAGGCATTTTAATTTATGCTTTAAATGTTCAAGACTTATTACGTTGTATTCCTCAACTAAAATGAAATTTAAAAACTATCGCTAAAATTTCTTATATTAAATAGTGACAACAGTTATATCTAGAATCGAAATTTTGCCACTTTCTACAAATATCGCGTAGCCTGTTGGTCCGAGTGTTATAGTCGTTGAAAAACTACTGTAGTCCCAAGTTCAAACCTTCCCTTGAGTTGTGTATTGTTTTTCAAATTTTAATTTGCTAATCAATTAATTATTTTTTTATTTCCTAAAATGAATCAATGTGGGAAATTAACAAATTAATAAAAAAAACATTATATAAATATTTTTCGTGTAAAAGATAAATTTTAGTTTTAGTATGAAAAATTATATACTTAAATAAAAAAAATTATAAACAATGGATGATATATTAAGAATTTGAAATAATGAGAAGTTTGTTTATTTACTGATAGATCGTTCTCTAACTGTTTCGTTCAACTTTGAAAGAATACAATAATATTTCGTTATAATTATTCATAAAAATAAAAATATCAACAAAAATCCCTCAAGATGGCAAGTAAATTGCTAGTGCTTATCAGGGCCCATTAAGATTTTGATATTTTACTGATTGCCTGATTGGAGTGAACAAATAAAGATGATTTCTGTTAATATTTAATTTAATCATGTTTGCAAAAGTACTGTAGGTTAAGGTAAAACTCGAAAAAAAAAATATGAAAAGAAAAGTAGTTTAATAGTGTTTCGTTATCATCATCATTTCAGCCTGTTTGAGTCCACTGCTGAACAGATGCCTCCTCCATAAACTGTCACGAAGTACGAGATGCCACCTCCTCGATAAACTGTCACGAAGTCTCGATCCCCTCTTTTGAGCCGGGGCCAGTAGCCCCGTTTGCCCTTCCCTAAATCCGGCCCTGTGCTGGATTGTATCGAATTGCTTAGTATAATTGAACTAAGTGTTCCCCAGGAGGAAGGTTACCCAGGAGAAAGTCGTTTAATCTTTTTGTTGTGCCAGTATTTAAAACTAATCTCGGACAATTTTCAACACTAGCAAGACTATGTAAAATATATAAAACTGTCAAAAAAGTCATGATACATTATTAAGTCCTTAGATTAAGTATGTCCTTAGAAACATTTAAAAATCTTAGATTATTTATTATACTAACGATAGGTATAAGCATTAATTGTTTTTATCAAAGTTATTATTTTTATAGCTACATAATTTTTTTTTACTAACATAATTATTTTGCATGCTTAATGTGTCCAATATTAGTGAATCTTAATAAATAAATAAATGATCATATCGAATAAAACTGGTTTAAAAGTTGTAGAAATAGTTCATTGCTGTTCAAGTGGCAACATTTAGTTAAAAATCTGATTTATTAAAAAATTTGCGCTAGACAGTATTTGCCATAAAAAGGCAAATAAGCCTTTATAAAAATACTCAGTTGTATTTTGAGTATTTACATCCAAAAGGAAAATGTGACTAATAATTGTAAATAATCTATTCAATTTGCGTTTTTTCACCTATTTCAAAACACAAGTATGCTTAGAACAATGTATATTTTCTAATAGAAGAAAATTTTTCTTTAATCATTGGGATCAAAATTAAAACCATTGAAACAGTCGTAACAAACCACACAAAACAAATATCTGATGAAATAAAAAAAATACATATATTATTTTGTAAAATGTATTTAATCGGTTATAAAAATTTCCTCTAAAGCCTTAATTAAAAGAAGGAATATTTGACTACCACACGAAACACGATATTATCTTAATTCCAATACGATGATTGACTCGTTATTAAATTGATGAAGACGTTGTCAATAAAGATATTGGCGTTAGATAAAATTTGCATAAGTAACGTTTAAATTTAGCTAAATGGTTTGCGCCAAATTCGTATTCAATACAAGCGTGAATAATAAATTCGTTATTTAAACATAGTAAATACTAGATAGGATGGAATATTAAGCATTATCTAATGTGCTTCTTCAATGTGTAAAATTTAGAACTAAACCAACGTCATTTGAATAATGACTCGCGTTTTTACTGTAATGTGTTGTCTAATACAGTTTAAGTTAAGGTAAAATTTTAGGAATTACCTAATATGTGATATCGTCTAAATCATTTCGAGATAGAAGCGAATCGATGTTATTCGATTTATCTATAGGATTACCTATTTATTAAAAAATAATTGCCGATGTTCTAGATACGCTCTTCAATTTTATTTGCCTGAATATACTTTTTGAAAAAATTGTCTAGAACCGATAATGAAAAACATTGTACTGTATATTAGTTGCAAAATTTATTTATACGTATCTAAATCGAAAAGCCAGGCTATTCATTATTGCGAACAGGTGAGACGACGATGAGTAAAACGAACGTATTCAATTGAAATGAGCGCACGGCTCAAGTAATGCATCGATAGATTTATTCGTAATCGATGTGGCCGGGTAACTATTTAAATGCGCTGGGTCTATTACATTTAGAAGTGAGCCTGCGACTGAATATCAATCACGCGGCAAACAGCCCGCCGATTATGCAGCCACGTGCAGTGGCATATCGACTCAAATTAGCATACTCCGTAAATCTTCGCGCTATTGGGTGGGCCGACACATGATTGTCACCTTTTAAATTTGCATTCATTACCATTCATTATTCATTACCATATCATTATTCATTAGTTCGGGCCCGTCGTTGTCTACTTAGGCGCGTTTTGCATGATTAGTGTCGTGATGTTTTCCTTTCGTATTCATCGCTACGCCCCTATTTGTTGGATGCTCGTTGGCTTATTGTTCGTGACTTGATTAGTCGTTCATGGGCATGGCCGATTTTCAACCCAAAGCTGTTTCGTTTACGTTCCAAAATCAAACCGTTCGATGCGGCATGGCAGTGCGAATGTACTAAACATGTAGGCAGGCATATGATTCAACGATGACATCGAAACAATCATTAGCCAAATTCAAATATACGAATGCGTACTAACCTTGCCATTTTGGACAGGAGGACCAGCAAAAAGATTATGCTGATCGCAGACCTCAGGACCATCCTGCGCTCGTCGCCGGCGGTAGCTTTCAGCCCTCTCATGTTGGCAACACTAATTCCGCGCTTCGGGGACGCATCGTTTCAGCTTGCGGCAACCGCTGCAGACGCACAACAGTCTATCGCGACAACAGCGCACCGGGCATCACAGCGTCGAATATCACGCGGTCACAACACGGCGGACCATTCCGTTAAACAGCCAATTTGGTGCAGCACTGGCTGCCGAGTCTTCTTAATCTAGTTTACGGTGTGCCGGCTTGGCGAGCACTTACCACCGAGCCTGGGGGCCCGTTGTATTTGTTTACGCGCTTTCGGGCCGCGTCAATCGGGCGTACGGCGTGGAAGCACACGCGGCGCGTTTGGCCGCCGAGCCGCGTGGGACGCAAGGCGTGCGCCGCGCCGCCCAGCCGACGGGGAAAAAAGCTAGGGGGGCGTGAAGACGCCTTCCGGCCCCACCTACTCGCTCATTATCCACCGCGCGATTATTTCCCGGCGTTGTTCCGGCGAGGCCCACGCGGCCGGGGCGATGTCGGCCGTGTGCCCCCAAAGCGCTCCCGTTTGACAGTGCCACCGTGGACGTGGGCCCCGCGTATATAAAATGCCGCCCCACACCTACCGTCCCCTGAACGGTCTCCCTTCGCCAGTCTTCGGGTGCCGTGGTGGCGCGGCCGAGCGATTTCGCAACGCAAGCGAGAGGCGCGCTCAGCTTCGAAGTTGTCCGGGCGTTGTTTGAAGTTGAAAAAAAAAATTAATACTTTCAAAGAAAATAATATAACAATGTGATTCGTAAATAAGATATAAGCTTAGAAGCTATGAGAACGGAGGACAGCTATAAAATTAGTTTGGATGGCTATTTCGTATGAGAATATGAAAATTATCAGTAAGAATCGTTTAATAGCTGAATAACGGGTACGTATTTACTATTGAATGACGAATGACAAATAATAAAAAGTTTAGGGATGCCACCCTTTGCTAGGGGAGAGGGAGTCGCACGCGCAACAACAATTGTGCTCGGGGCAATTGTCATCCATGTCGAACGCTTGAGACAACAATAAAGATTTAGCAAAACATTAAAAAATATTGAGTAGTTGAAAATTGCAGGCAAAAGTTTTTCAATTAACTAACGTGAATTGAAATGTTTGGCGCATATTTACTCAGCGCATATGACTTTTATTAAGTCAAAACGTTTAATCAGATTATTATCAATTTAGTACCGTTGACCATCAAACAGTTCGACTGAGACCTTAACATGATTGTGCTTGGTTATTTTGAAATAAATTGAATATTTATGACATAAAAATATCCAGCTAAGTAAGTACCATTGAATGGATATATTAAAATGATTTTTAACTTGGTTTAAAGAGCGATGGACTAAACTGGTACTCTCACAAAAAATGTTAATAAGAATAGTTTGCGAAAATTATCCCAGTAAATGTTAGCATTAGATACGAGTGTAATTTCTAAAGCAGCATTATTAGATTACGCACATTCACGACACAACTTTTTATTCACGGTGTTAAACTTGTAGTAAAAACTAATGAAGAAAATTTCATGAAAAAGGGAAATCGAAGTAGAGTCTTTATATTTACCATGGATAAATATCGATCTCGTTGCCTTTAGGCAAGTTAAAGTTTATAATAAGCGCAAATATCGTTCTCTAGTACATCGTAAGCTGGCAATTATTAAATGATGTAAAACCTTGTCACAACAATTTATTGACTTTTGTCAGACAAGGCGCCGAGTAGTCATTTATGCGCAGTCAGGACTTTGTATGTTAATATCACAAAGCCGTCACCTTTGATCTCGTTGCCACGCGGCTTGAGCGCTCTTCTTTGTTATAAATAATAAGTTCACTTTTTAATTTTGTCGGCTTATAGTAAATAAAACAAAATTCTAAACGTTACACGTTTACGAACGCCCTAAGCAATTATTGTACGCTACTTGTTATTGAGTGAATTACATTATTAAAATTGGGTTTCATTTCACAATATTTTTTGTTTGAACTTTAATTGTGTACAATATTCGCAGAAACAAATAAACGAACACATTTTACGTCAGTTGTATGACACGTCCGAACACATTCGAATTCCGTTAGAGCTATGGCTGCCGTAAAGGAAATCATTTGAACTTAGCATCGATTACTCAGGCTGGTAACGAATTCATGCGAAGCTTGATAATAACTCTAAAACGCTTGTCTGTTTCGTTAGCACTTTACGGGACTTGACAATTCTAATAGTGATGGTCATGACAAAATGCCCATTCAGAGAGCACGCGGCCATAAAACTGGTGGCTATAGAGAACTGTACAACACTATAAACACGGTTTGTGGCCACATTTGATATTAAAATGATTCTCGAACTTTGTCGGTCCTTACGTATTTCCATGATTATTTTTAAACGCCGATAAGGTGTAGGGAAACTGGTATAAAAAGTGTAATATATTTGTATCTTAAACGGTTCATATACCATTTCTGGTATCCCGTAGGACATGACTAAATTATGAATTCTGCTAATTACGTATGAGTTAAGGTTATGATATATGAACAAATCTGCTTCGTTATATTCACTGCGCAATCTAATTTATGCGCCACATTTTTTTTACTCTCAAACTGGTCAGTGTTCGGGTAATATAGATAAGAGGACTGGTAAAAGTGATGTAGTCTTACGCAGTAACTCAGTAAATACATGTTTACTCTTGCCTTCAAGACACTTTGTGTTTGGACGGGCGTAATAAGTGCCTCGTTAACTGTTATTTTATGAAACCCATAACTTATTTATACTCTGCATGATTCAATGAACGTTTAATAACGCCTTGTTTTATTGTATTATACATTTTAAGGAACAATTTTGAAAGCCTTTTTTTTTGGCTGGATGAGCCACTGTTGGCCTTAGGGGGCTTTACAGATCCGACGGACTTGAGGTGGCCGGGCGCTCGGGGCGCCTAGCCTGTACCTATGTTATGGTGACTAAGCTAGAGGGCTCCCGTAGGAACCTCGGCTCGGGCCGTCACGCTATTATTTTCACCAGTTTGGGAGGCCGCCAAGCTCTTAGGGCGCTTTGGCGGGCGCACCATGGAGTGATCAGGCTCAAGGCTCAGGGCTGTCACTCAGCACGCGTTTAGCATTCCGATTCGAGGGTGCCCGAGAGGGCCGGACCTCGGCTCGATCGGTAGCTGTTATCTGACTGGATTTGAAAGACTTGCTTTATAGATATTGTTAGACGTTTCTCATTGCCGAAATCCGATTTTTATACATCAACTAATTCAATCGACTACAGTAGTGTGGGTCGACACATAATTATATTAAAATAGTTATATAACAATATAGATTATGTAAAATAAGTTTAAAAAAAACTGCTAAATCTCGGAGAACCAATCGTTATGACTTTGACTTTATCCTTTGACTATGTTTCTAAACGTGCATTCAGAAAACTGTGAATGTGTGTCTGTGGAAACTGATATACAAAAAAACATTATAAAGTGAGGGAGCTCAATATCAAGATTCGTTTTAGAAGAAAAATATTGTAGTAAGAGGCAGTTCTAATGTCCAAGTTATAGTTTTGTTAGAGTATACGGCAGGTTGATAATAATTCGAAGAAGCTGGCGTGATTGAAACGCTGCTTCACGAGAATGGCGGTCGAATAATTCCAAGGTATTTTCTGGAACATTCGCCGTGTTAAAACATCGAAAGATCAAGCGCAATAATGAAATGCCGAACGCCGCTCTTCATTAAAGTGTGTCCAATTTGAATATACATCACGCTAATAATACATATTTCAATGACTAAAGGGTAATACCGCCAATAGCGCGCTTAACGATAAAAGGTGGTGCTCGATTGTCGGCATAATGACTGCTTTATTGTCTGTCATTACGAGGTAAACACATACGTACGAATAAACATTCCGCGGGGAATATGCGATGGTGTAGGTTACCGCATTTATTATCGAGTTGCCAGTTTACGTCTGCCGTGAACGCAATAATGCGCATGCCATTAGAAACCGTCCGAGCGATGCGTGAAACGCCCATTCCATTTAGAGATTACAAATATTGGTTATTATTCGAGCAATCATATCATGAATGCACGAGTTGACGTTAAAGGAATTCATGTTGACAGAAGCAACGAAACGTTAACCGCTTAGGCGGTAGTAGAGAACATGCCAGTAAAACTATCGTCTTAAAATTTTCCGATACCAATTACATATACATTTTTAAATCAGTCACCACATGTGTTATTTTGATAGTTTTTTTTTAAATAATCATTCAGAACAATGTTCACGCATTATGATATGCGCTTGAATGTAAATACGTCGGTAAAAGCAAACTATCACGGGCCAATAGTAAATTTATATCTTGCGCTGTTCCACTATAAAATTAACGGACCTCTCGACATTTCGAACTGTAAAGTTGTTTTATTTCAGGCTGTGAGCGTTATTGAAATTAAAATGCCGAACTCCCAGCGAGCGCCGTCGCTTCCATAAAGTGGCAAGACAATGAATCGTATGTACGGTGCGAGCAATTGTGTTACTTACAGCACATAGCTTCCAGCTACTGACACGCATCATTTTGTGTTATTATCAATTACCGCGCTAACGTATCGCGTCCCCGCAATATCGGCTGGGAAGCGTTTGTTGGCCGTATCGGAGTTGCCAGGAGCATTGCGAAATTACCCACAACACGAGAGAAATGTCTGTGTTTCATTTTAGCTCTTTACAAGCTTTTCCGTTGTTCATTGTAGTCGAAACTTTTTTTCTTTCGTCATCTGTATTCAATGTACAGAGGATTTTTATTATTTTTGCGAATGCTTTGAGGTAAAAACTTGCTTTATGTATGTATTAAGTTAGCTGGATTTTGTCTAATGGCGATGCGAACTTCTCCTTATTAATTAAATTCTTACAACGGTTATGGGTGTTCCATCAGCTTATTTATAATGTACACACACACACATAGAGTTTACAGTTTTCTAACTTTTATTTGCACTACATTGTTAAAGTGCAGTTTTAATGCGGCCTAATGTTCACGTCGAAACAATTTGTGACACATGCCATTCCGTAATTAATTATTAACAGAGCTATTTATTCGCATCGGTTTCTTCAAAGGCCATTAAGAGATACTGTGTGTTTACGTCGCGTAGTTATACTTTGTCGGTATATATCATTACTGCTAATTAGGTAGCGATATTAGAGATCCAGTTGCTTTACAGGGACCTTTAAAGTTGAAATAACACAAATGATGTACATAATTGAAGTTATTTATTATTAAAATTATGTTTATACATGAATACACATTAGAAATCAATAATTTGCACATTTTCAGAATGTTACATTGACTGTAGCTAAAATTTAGTCTTGATGAAACAACCACTTACGATCACCATTATGATCTTATAACCTTTGGTTATTGTGCAGTCAAAACTACATCTTCCTAGCGTGTTAAAATGTATTAATTAATGGGATATCCGTGTTTCTTAGTTAATATTGTTATTTTATACCCTCGACATATTTGAATATCGAAATCAAAAAGTTACACGCTCTCCGTTCCATTAATGCATTCTCATAAGCCCACGCTAATTGTACTAAAGATTGTCGAGAGGACGCACGACGCAAGCACAATTTGAAAATTTTAGGGGGCTGTATACGGGGGCTATAAATCAGCGGAGGGTCGAACTCGATATTGGAGGCGCGTCGCACAGTAAAACTATGAAACGCACATTTAACGTTTTATTCCCTTAGTATGTAAGATTTTTCTGTCTCTACAAATACAATATAAATTGTGACACGATCGAGACGGTGGCAGATAACAATGAACAAGCGAATTTTTTTTTTATAAAGGAAGAAACAATCAAGCGATTACCTCGTCTAATTCAAAAGGATAGAAGTTTCAGGAGCGGGATTAAGGATATCAAACCGTATCATTAAATAACATTAAGAGCATGACAACAAGATCTGCGAAAAAGCGCACAATAAGGTCATAACATATAAGGTCCGCTATTACATCGAACATAAATAATATGTATTCCTGCTAGATTTTACTTTAACTACAAAATAGCTGACCCTAGCCCAGAGCCTGTTATTCGATATAAGTGGAGTTCAAGTCTAACAAGTATCAGTAACACCGAAGGAAAGTGTCAGTGCGTCCAAAAGCATTACGGTTGACTTGGCCAGTATGCGTCGGGCCTAAATCAAATTCTATAAGGTTTATACTCTGTGGCCGAGTCCACGGATAATGGGGACTGGCCGTTGTTAGTTTCGTTATGGTGTGCGGGCTTCGGGCACGCACGCTCGAGGCGGTACCTCGTTAGCATGCGCATGCGACATTTCACATAGGCTAATTGCGAGCATTTAGCCATCTCGATAAACAGCCCTCGTGGTGGTGAGATCACTGCGTTTTGCAGACGCGGCGACCGCAACAGGCAATGGCCACGTTACAAACTGTGGTATTCCCCGAAACATTCCTAGCGATACAATGTGTTAATCAACTTGCAGTCAAGTCGTACGGTGTATGGAGTATCAACTATCTGTTATATTACAATGACACAGTGCATCTGGAGATCCACAGAGTGGAGAATATCTACAAATATTTCAGTAATGGATTATTAATGAACAGTATTTTGTTTGAGGAGAGACTTGTGTAAACTAATAATTAATTTTATTGCAAAAAGTACGAAACAAACATAAAATGAGAAAATCGAGTAAGTCACGTACCATCTCATAAGTTTTAGTATAGATGTGATTGTGTCTTGGTTGTTGAAGTTGTTTCCTACAACCCGTGAATCAGTGTTATACAATCTGAAACCGAGTGCCAACAAGTTCTTTGAAAGTGGGTTCGGGTGCGTCAAGGACATTGCACCCAAACCCGCTTTCAAAGAAGCTAATTTCGCTAATTTAGCTTTGATCGACCCGCTTGGATCTCCTGTTATTTGACCGTTTACGAATACCATTGCATTCAAAAGCGGTTTTCTTACGTCTTCTGTATGTCTTTACACCGACGCCTAAAGATCCACTTAATGGAAGTGTATGAGACCTACTCTCTTGAACGCTGGCAATGCAATTGAACACCGCCCTTGCTGTGCATATTCATGGGCGGAGGTAATTGTTTAATATCAGGCGAACGGTGCCATCGTTTTTAACCTTATTCTATGAAAAGAAAACAGATTAATATTTCAATTTTAGAATCTGTGACCGCATATGAAATCTCATAAAATAAGTATATGCAATAATGTTCTGTCATTGCATAACTTAAAAGAAGTCAAGCAAGTACAGTTTCTTCTAGTACACAGAGCAACAAGGTCATCGTATTATAAGAGGAGGGGTTGGATAGATTTATGCCTATTTCCGCATCTATCGCTGAGTACAACATAAAGTCTAGTCTAGTATCTCGCGTATCGATTTCCTCGCATTAGCGCTCAAGCCCGCCTCGCTGGGCCGTGCGTTAATTGAAATGCGGCCATAAACTTCGCTCCGTATGAACCAACTATTTACATTTATATTTTTATTGCTGCCAGCTCTTTGATTATTCGTTAATTCACTTACACCTTTTACAGGATGTTCCGTAATAGAAATGCGTGCGTCTAATGTGTTTAATGCATTCACAACTTTGCCTTTTAGCATTCAATCCTTTTAAGTCACCTTTTCGTTGTGCAATACGCCATCTCGCTTTTGTGTAGAGCACAGAAGGTGAAGATATGGTTGGTTTATTATACTTCATTTATTAGATTTATTATTATTATTTTAATGCGTAATGCGTTTATATTATAAACTACACAGAAACAAGATTAATGCCTATATGCGCAAATCTTCCTCTTTCGTCATCGCTTATATAGGTACAGACGTCGTTTTAGAGTACGAGCAGTTTACATTATATTTAGCTTGCGAAAAAATAAAATCAAGAAAAGCTCACCTAATTTTGTCTATACGGATGTGATGTATTAAAAACATGGTAGTGTAAAATTCTAACTCTCAGTCGCTTTTGCAGACTTCATTGGCTTATCAGAAGTGAAACTGATTTATAAGGACGTCTGAAACCTATTAGTACATATTTTTCTTTACAAAACATAAAATATCGAACAATGTATCCGATTGATATGAAATTTAAAAGCAAGTAGATGTATTCCGTCGTAATTGGTCGCCTTCAGCGTGGAGTCTGCGCGATCAAACGGAGGTATTCCTGCCGTCAGCGATTGCTGCGCATCGGTGATTTACGGCCACCGCTGACATACCGCGGATGCCGATAGTGTACTTCATTTAATTAGGGACTAAGAACTTTCCGTCGCGTAGAAGGCAGGACGGAACACAAGGACGAATCGCAAGTGTAAATGTGGACGAAAGCTCACCAAGCGAATATTATTTATTAGTCACACGCGTCAAGGTATTGGCTTCTGCGTCGGGGGTCGTGGGTTCTATTCCCACACGGGGCAACTATTTGTGTGACCTACAGATAGTTGTTTCGCATCTGGGTGTTTCTCCGCGTGAAATTTTTGTTAGTAAAACGAATAATGTTAACCTAAAGTAAGGGCAAATCTTTTATTAAAAAAAATAATGTCGGTGTGTTGGGGGTGGGATGCGTACCGAACTATAGTTACATTATTGAAAATAGTTGAAATCTTCTTTTCTAATCACACTTCTTTTCTACCATTTTGAATCGTCGTACTCGTCCCCACCTAAAACTTAAAACTTATGTCCGAAGGTAAATTATTAACATAAATCAACATACGATTGACAATGCTTGTCTGCTGCTGAACACTATTTATTCACTGCATGGGGAAAGTACGGATCACTGCTCCGCCAATTATCAAATCGGGCCCAAGGATTACAAATGCGTTGCTAAGACGTCGAGCTTCACTTTAACCACTCGCCGGATTCCTCATCTACTTAACACTGGTCTGCGGTGAGGCGGCGGTATTTAACCGTGCGAGCCGGCTGTTCCACTCAGCAGTGGAAGCATCCGCGTGGCCCTACTAAAGCGAAATAATCAATTACGCGCACCCATCCACAGCCGACGTTCGCCCATACCTACCCACCGACCATTAACCGAATAGCCAATCAGTCTGAAATCGAGCTCGTCAAAGCGCTGCCCCGGCGTGGCCATATATCAATCGCGCGGATCTGGCACGCGGACAGGACACGGCGTAATTTGTCACCGGCATTTATTGTGATGCCATCGATCCGTCCGCGCACCGGCCGATAGTTTTATCATGTTAATCGATCTGATTTCGTCAGTTCCCAGTGCCCGGTGAGCGATGGGCCCGCTGTGGGAACGCCACCGCGGGTGCTCAGTCATCCCGTTCGCCGCAGATCAATTGACGGACTCGTCGCACGACTGCATCAGGTGCTGCTTTTGAGGTTATGCTATTGGATGTTTTTACGTAGCTCAACTGTCTTTTTGATAAGTCTATTAAGTATTTAAAGACTTATTTTTGTTATATATAAAATGTATGTGTCTTTCAGATGGATATATTCGATGTATGCAAATTAACAGAGCGTACTTTAAATTTTTTTATGTTTATTGTATTTTATATATAACTTTTAAAAAATTATATATAATATTAAAAAAAACTTTATATATATTACTATATATATTTTTTTTATGTTTTACATGAAATAATACACTTTCAGTTGCAGCAGTTTAGGTATTAAGGTAAAAATTTATACTTTTAATTGTATAAATTTATTAACCGAATTCAAAAATTAAATGTTTCATGCAATAATCTGCACCGAAGTACATATTATGTTTTTAATAACGAATAAGCCTCTGCGAGGCTCGAATAAACTATACACAATGTATTCTAATTTAGTTTGACTTGATCTTTGCGATTATCGTAATAATTGCGACCACCGGGAAGATATTCGACTAGACACGAGAATATTTGGATTGTGGTTTAATTACCTCCCATTGTGTCCGTCATTTGACTCTATTGTGTCCGGATACGTATAACTATGAAGTTCATTATTCTATGAGGACATTAAAAATAAAACATTACTAAAAAGTAATAAAGTGGTCCTAACTTTGAATGAATTATATACATGAATATAATAACATAATATTTCGTAATTCGAATATGTTGCAATATTTTTACTTATTTTTTTCATTAAATGTTTGGTGTCGAGCTGTTTCAACATTTTCTCATAAATGGTGTAGATGTAATAAATAAAGATTCCATGCAAGATTCTATACTTATTCTTGCGAGATTCCTATAATATTTTACAAGCTTGTCATATTCCATCAGAGTCACGTCAAAAACGTTCATAAAGCCATTACTTTAGTTCTTTTAAAATTTTTAATTTCGAACAATTTCAGGGAACGCTCCGCTCGGCATTGTTCCGCGTCGAGAAATTCCGAATTCGCGGGTTCGGAATTCGAAAGGGAAAAAGCGGGAAATGTCGAACGAAACGCGGGGAAGGCGCGGGCACGGGGAGGTGGGCGTGGCGGGGCGGGGCGGGGCCCTAGCGCGCACATGTTCCACAGAATCAAATAGGTCCCTCAATATGACGTAACAGACACCGAAATACCTATTTGTGGACGATTGCATATTGACATGGCCAAATAAGCTGTACTGTTTGACTAGCCTCGTAAGTAAATTACCAAACGTCTACCTACATCCGATTGACGTGTGTGCTTAAAACGAGTGATTCTGGTACACCTCAGGTTGATCGGGTGAGAATGCATAAAGGCATGATCCTGGTTCGCCCGATGTAATTATTTTTTTCTTGTTTTCATTAACGAATAAATAAAAAACATAATATGTATTACCCAGCTTATTTAGGGTATCAAAATTTGAACCTTTTTTTATAATTTGATATAATAAGATAAAAAAATCAACATGATATTTGGAAATTAATAAGTAAATTGAATTTACAGTGGGTACATATAGTAAGTAATTCGAACAAAAACTGTAAGTTCCCAAAGAGGTGGTAACACAAACATACTACGAACAAACATGTTGAATGATGTTGGCTACGAAACGGTACAATAAAATTTGTTAATTCACGTTAATGACTAGCAATACACTCATTACAATTTACACACGGACACATTATGTGCAGGCAAACACGGATTCCGTTGGACCACCCAATGTTCGCGTTTTTCATTATTTGTTCCAATTACTATTAGTCATATCAGTTATTTGATCGTTATAGTACGAAACGTATTGATATCGTGATCAACTACCGGTTGGAGGTCAGAGCATTTGGCAACTGAGACCTGTAGTTTTTACTCCCGGTTAAGTTTTGATAAAAGTTTTTAGTTTTATACGAACCTTTATTTCATTGGTTTTAAATCTGATCTGAAGCAAGTAGATACGGTGAAGTTAACATGCTTAATGACTTTCACCAAGGTGTTTATTTTTTGAATTTAGTAATAAATTATTACGGAACGTATCCATCCTATCAATCGCTCAGATCCAGATTACTATTGCGGAAGAGACAAGAGTACCATCAAGAAGTAAACACGCCGATACAATAGATTCCATAGATTTATAATGGTAATAAGGTATATAAATGCCAATGTTAGGTTGAATTATGTATTCTATAGTTAATGCTTACTACTATCTTAATTGAAGGTGATTGCTAAACAAAACAGTTGACACTAATCAGAACTAACGCCTGTTAGACTTCGTTGACTGTGATCTAAACAAACATTAAAATTTATTTATCTCTATTTTGATGCGAAAAGTTGGCAAGCGCGCTGGCGCCATCTGTTGCCTGGCCCTACGACAGTCAAAAAACTATTTTACATATTGTTTAGTGTTTGCGTACTTTCTACCTGATGGAAAGCATCGGTGCTTTACAACTTATTTTATAAGAACATTGAGATGATTTCGGAGAAAAATGTCTTGTATTTATAAAAACATATTGGACTAGGTTTTCACGTTTATGGACTTAAAAATGTGCGAGATTTCCCTGTGATTTTTTTGCCTCTTTTTAATGTCGAATGCGTTCCAGTCTAATTAAGATGTCGACAATGACACGCAAATAATTACGTTATGACACGTCAAAATCACTGTCTCATGCGTCTGTGACGCTTGAAACTCGAGGTCTCACGGAGTGATTCACTGATACGATCGCCTTCTCTCGCACAAACCCAATTTTGCGCCCCAACTTCTCATAAGTTAATTACAGTAAAGGTGACTTTGCCGTGGCCGTGAGCTATTTAATTTGGCTTTCGGTATATTAAAGTGTCAATCGCTCCTCCTTCGAGACGTCCGATATTAATAATCATGTCAATCCGCTCGTGAGAAACACTCCAAGTGACGCGGTAACTATTAATTTGGGTGGTATTACATCGATTATTGGGTAATTGTCGGTGTGGGTTCGCGTCCGTGTTATTAAATCTCATTTAATTTTTGTATGAGGCTGGGAGTCGGCTGAGTCATTCGGGTGTTTTACGCGCGCTTTTGTGTTGTTCCCTTTGACGTTAGTTATTGGCACTTTCTTTCCTTTTTTATTTCTATTCTCTGTTTAGTCTTGAAAACTTTTTTCATTATACGGCTGCAACTATTCTCAAGGAAAACAAATAATTGTACTGACTAGAATGATTTCAGCGCATATTTTAAAAAAAACTTTTTAAATCTCTGTCGTTATGTTATCATTTTACCCTAGTAATTGTAACCTAAGTGCCATATGCAGATAATTGTATTTTTTTTAACTTCATATTCTTGACTTAGAATTTGGTATTTGTTGTTTTTTTTTTTCATTTGAATAGAGACAACACTACACGGTACAGTATTAAAAAAATTACGTGATACAGTTTAATGAATAATCTGTATCTTAGTGAAGTACTTTCAGTCCCAATTTTATTAATTCGCTCGCAGTCACCGTATTCGCGATAATATTTTCAAATCAGTGCAGTGCAAAAACCACAACCACCTGTGTTAAGATCGCAGGAGAGTGACTAATGTCGGAAACTAAGTGAAATGACTAATCGGGTAAGCCTTAATGACATCGATGACTAATTTAGCACGATTTCACAGTCGAGTAGTTTAATTTTGCTGGCGGTAAAATGCAGCTTTTGTTTTTTGTTTGTGTCTATCACGAATTTAACAACATTATGTGTTAATTTTAATAAGAGTCATATGGAGAAATTGAAAGTCATATGGAGAGAATAGAGATAAGATAAGAGAAGTCTGAACTGAGAGAATTGACAGAGAATGAATTCTTTCAGTGAGTTCTCTTTCTTATCTTTAAGTGCCACGCATTTCTATAATATATTTTTTTATGTTACCAAGCTATATTCAAATATAATTAAGGTTAAAAAAAGTAAAATAACAGCTTTTTACTGTGGTAGGGCCACGCAACAGACTTGGATAATGGGCAGGTCCCTCCGGGTAAGTACCACGACCTCACAGAAGACCGGCATGAAGAGGAAATTTTATATTTCTGCGTTTTGTTTGGTAAGTGGGGTAGCCGGGGCCAACTTTATTAAAAATTGGGACTGCACCGACAACGGTACTGGTGTTACAATTTTCAAGTGGCTGCAGTTATCACTTAATATCAGGTGAACCGCCAACAAGCTTGCCATCTTCTCACTAAAATAAGAAATATATATCCAAACCTAGGCATTGGCCTCTGTATTGAGTCTACCACGAGACCCCACTGCGGATTGCCGGGCTTTACATATCTTAGAAATATTTTTGGTTATTATTCTGAAGCTATGTAGGTTTCCTCACGATGTTTTTATTTACCTCTGAGCGCGTGATACTAAATCAGCACGTTACATTAACAATGTAACTGGTACCGGCATCGGGTTTGAACTCAGGTTGCTTAATACCGAGTTTCTTTTCACCAATCATGTAGATTCACAGTAATCCGTCTGAAAATCAGTTTTACAAGTAGATTGGTTTCGAGTTTTCACGTGGAAAATTTTTTTTCCAAAAGCATATCGGAGCACCTTCTTTTTGAAAACAGTAAAATAACTTAAAGGGCGGTAACAAAAAAGAGTTGTTCTCAAGCATTGCGAATAATCGATTTCTGAAACGTAAAGTGTGACCAATCAAATCACACAACTTTACTAAAACATCGTATTGAGTTGCACACCTTAAATTCTGAGATAATAAAGTTTAGAAACATACTTCTGAAGTTCAAGGATTTCTTAAAACAAGGTCCAATAAACAAGAAACTAGGGGAACGTTTAGAAAATACCGTTTCTTTGTAATGATATTCAATCTTATCACCTAATTATTACTGACGTCACTGAAACCACTCTACTAGAATCTGTTTACTTTCTAAAGGTCTTAAAATAATGTCAAATACCCCTTTTGTTTCTGTTGATTCTTCGTTGGAAGTAACGTCTCTTATTTATTTTCTCTTATTAAATACAAGTATTTCTTTAAGAGGGCATATGATAGGTAAATTCTAATCCAGTGGTACAGTTGCTAAGATATTGGATTCGGTGCCGGGGACGTAGGTTCGATTCCCATACGGACAAGTATTTTTGTGATAATTGTTCCAGATTTGGGCAGTGGTAGGTTGCCACTTACCATAAGGCGATCCGCCAGTTCACTTGCCACTTTCTCACATAAAAAAAAAATTCAACGATTTCGGTCGAGCAGTTTTGGTCGTACACTCTCAAACTAAGTCAAAGGTGTAATCTGTCTGGGATCACGATGTGTGGATGCAATTCACATTGTTTTATTTTCTTTTGAAGTTATACGTCTTTGAAATTTAACATTTACAACTTTTTGACATTTACCTACCTATGATTCCAAGTTATAAATCAATTCCAACGTCTTTTTCACAAAAAAAGAGTACTGGCACATGGAATAAAATTTATAGTTATTTTTCTTTTTTAAATTAGTTAAAAGATATATTTGTCCGCGGAGTTTCTAGTCGGTTGTCCATCGTACTCTGCCCAATTTGTGATCAGTGGTACATTTAAGCGTTTATCAGCTTGCATAGCATCTCTAATTTGGATATTAAAAATTGAATATCTTATTAACAGCGGGTATAAAACATATTGCTCCAAAACAAATTACTTTAGCTTTCCAAACCCCTACGTCACCCGACATCCAACAATTAATTCATTTAACCGACACGAAGTATCAAAGCGATTTGGAATCATCGTTTGTTTGTTTAGGTGCAAATCTATATTGAGTTCGTAAAAGCGGAGCGGTATTTTAGCCGCCATTAGGGTGGGCTATTAGCGAACCATTAAGTTGGAAATTATATCGATTCGAGAGGTCCGTTCGCATTCCATTAAAATTGGTACGCGATAAGCATCTAGGGGTTACTACGGCCCGCGTTAAGAGCGCCGAACGACAGGTGAGTTGAATTTAATAGGCGCATGGCTTTTTACGGTAACAACTGAGGATGCAAATTTTGTAGAGACGTCTGTGATGCGACGTAATTGATCGAATGTTTGGTCGCACTTACTTCGCGCGTTTTTTATTATTTGCATACCATCAAGTGTGCGGACCGAGTAAGGTCTTGGTATTTCGAAATTAATCTAGATAGATCCGGTACAACACCGTACTAAAGT